TATAGTAATGTGTAAGTGGACTACTTAAATTAGGCACCAAAAGTGCACATGTGGCTAGTTGTAACCTCCAATGTAAGGTAAGCTCTTGGTGGCATACGTGTTCTAATATACTTAAATAAAAAAATTGCAATTCCCAAAATAGGGACTTTAATTAAAAAATAAAAAAAAAAAAAAAAATCTATTAATTATACTAATACCTTTTGCTATTTTTTATTGAATATATATAACTTATATATATTATATATTTACTAATAAAAATTCATCAATATTATGCCTATTATTATGTTTAAACAAGGAATATGATGATCTAATAAAGTGGTTAGGTTGTCAACCTTCAAGTAACAAGTTTAGAGTTCAAATTCTATAGATAATGAATTTTGAAAAATATATTTATATTATAGTAATTGTCTCTGTTGATTGGTTAGATTAGTGTATCTGTAACTTTTAGTTGCATTATCTCAAATAGAAGCTTAGGATATTTATGCAAAATATAACATTACATTTATATAGAAAAATATTAATAACTAGTATTATATAAGACTTCAGTACAAACTTATAATAAGACCACCAGGTATAAAAAATAAAAAAACTGAAGATTCAGAAACCTACTTAGAAATTATAAATAAAGAAATAATACAAAACTTTTAATGATATTATTAGACTGATAGAAACCTATAAAACATCTTCAAAGAAATAAGTAGATAAACTAAATAGCAAAATATATAAAGAAACATATGATCAATCAGATTACTAAAATTACTAAAAGAAAAAAATACTAAAGTATATTATATTAAGTTATTTGGATTGGAAATTTGAAAAATCCTGTTAATTCTGAGTAGTAATTAGTAAAAAACAATAGAAAAGATGTCAAAAAGATAAGTACCAAAATTTTAGATAAACCTTACAAAAATATAATAGTTTAATAATTAATCCTAACTGCAAGTAATGGTTTAGACCAAAGTAATACCAGGTGAGCTATAAGTATAGAATGCAGAACATACCAATAAGTTTAGTACAAAGTTAAACATAACTTAGTGATCATAATATATCTTTACCAATTTACTAAAATTATTAATAAAATGTAATGGATATAGTTTAAATAGAAGACCTACAGGTAGGTCCTAGGTATAACAACTAGTGTAAAATCTTTAAACAAACTACTTAAATTAAACAATGACTAAAGATGTATAAGTGACTAATTGTATACTCATTTTATAATCATCTCTGCACTATTATGTCAACAGATGCTAACCAATTGATACTACCAATAAAATCCTGGATTACATATACTCGCCTTAACATTTAAAAAAAAAAAATTTCATTATGTCTAGTCTTTGCATTTGTACAATATTAACTAAAAATCAGATTCTTGTTATACAGAAAGATTATCTAATTGGGCTAATTCTTATAAACCTACTTGTAATCGAATTTTCTTATATCAAGAAAATTTCAAACTGCTAGCCAAAAAGATATGAGTCGTAGTATATCAAAAATTCACCATATATTCAACATTAACAATTATGTATTATAAGTAAAATTTCATTCTTAAAGCTTTTACTTAGAGGTTAGAAGTTAGTTATTATAGTAAATTTTTGTGTTATTTACGTTTTTTTACAATTTCTTATGTTTTTCGCGTTTGTTTTGTTACACGGGATCCTGTGATTTTATTATCCGGATAGGGTCGGAAGTGATCTTCAGCAAGTATTAGTCTAATTTTTTTGATCTCTATGTCTGTCAACTGGTAATATTATAAATACCATCATAGTTTGAACTTAAACTTACTAGTTTTTGAACTAGAACTGGACGAGACTAACGATTTAACATCCCTGAAATAAAAACTTATCTAAGGATAAAATATATATCATTACTATTTTATTATCGTTAATTAAAGTATTTCAAAAAAAAGGCATGATGTATATTATAAAAAAAATTTTATCGAAAGGGCTTTAGTTATCACAAGACAAGTAATGTTGCCTGCTGCAAAGTCGCAACTATCGATGTCACACTCTATAAAAAAGTCACACTTCATATTTCAGCAAGCAATACTCCCGTGACTGTTAATCAGCATTACATTAGAATAGACCACCCAAATCCTCATATGCATTTTTAATGTAAATATAGATTTGTAAATTTTGATGTAAAAAACCATAATAAAACTTTAAAAAATTTTAAACTTTTATTCCATATCTTTAAAAAATTTCACATTGATAAATAATTACTATTAAAATTAAAAATCACTATAATTTGTTATAAAAATTTCATTTCATTCAGTGTAATAAATTTTGACCCTCAACATAACAAGTCTGAATATTATTAGTTGCGGGTATGTTTTTTTTTGTATGATATACTTTTGTTACATACTTTTGGTAAATAAGGTGCTATCCAAAACCAAAAAAAAAAAGACTATTAGTCCTTGAAATTTTACTATCGAATACGCACAAATTAAATGTATGGATAATCGATAAATAGAAGTAAAAAAAAAAATGATATGAATGGATTAAGCATATTCTTTTTTAAATGCAAATGAAGAGTGAAAATCCGACAACTGATTGGTGCGTTTGTGATTTTTTTTCGATTTTTTTTCCTTTTTTTTTTCCTTTTTTTTTTGCTTTTTGGTTTAATTTCGGATTTTTATGAATAGATTATAAATAGCGGCTATTAATGAAAAATAAAATTATAATAAAGGACGAAATGAGAGTTGAATTAAAGGAATGAAAGCGTAGTATATCGCTTGTTCTAGAAGTTAAAATGCACACAAGAAAATCAAACCCCGATGTCAAAGTCCCAGTCAAAAATATAGGTTGCATATTTGTTGGGGTAGATGAAATGTTGGGCATTTTGTAAGGATGAGAGTTGTACATAGTCACAATATCAAACGACTATGTTTCAGTAGCGATAGGAGTATCTTGTACTCCTTTCGCAATAATATCTACCAAAACCTCTGCTCTACCTATAGCTTGTAACTTGACAACAGCCCGAACTTCACCCACTTCTCTTGGTTGAAAACGTACTGGTAATGTAACAGATGCACGCGGTTTTATTTGGACACTTGACAAAGGTATTGACAAATTAGGACTAGAGCCTGAGATATTTCCTATTACCTCACATTTGCATTTTATCCTTACGAGCTGATTTGAGGTATTATTTATATTAATTCCAACTGATCTACGTCTCCCAATTCTTGTAGCAGGAATTTGAATTTCAGATTCGGAAACTTCAAAGTCCATCGTTCTCGATCCACTTTTTTTTGTATCAACCTTGATTTGATTAGATACATCTGCTTTTCCTTCGCCTTGAACACGAACACTAACACCACCCAATCCACCAGAACCTTCCGAGCTAATTGAATCCTCTAACATAAAACTTTGTGAATATGTACCAATGAAAATAGGGCGAAAGCTTATATCAACTCTTTCGGTTTGACCTGCTCTAAGTAATCCACTCGTTTTCATTATCAAGAAGACTTCCTCATTTATTTTTTGAGCTGAATTGGTTGTGTCGGAACGACGCAGAAAAGGATTTGTTGCAGTAGTAAGATGCCAAGTAACTGGTTTATTGGTCGGATTATGAATACGAAATACGCTATGGTTTGTTTCACGAATCACTGTTGTCGGACAACTAATATTACCGGGAACACCAATATATATGAAATTTTTACGTTGTGGGAGTTGCTTTCCAGGTTTGGACTCATCAGGTGTTCGTGAACGAATAGCAGGTGAAGGTGACGCAATTTGTCTATAAGTATCCGGCGTATTTGGTCGGCTACGAATTGATGTTGTAGATGAATATTTTCTCACTGTATGATTATACTTATTACTACCTTCTGGGCTACTGGGACGACTAGTGGGCCCACTTGATATAATCTTTTTGGAAACAGATAAACTTGCAGATTTGCTAGTAGATCCTATGGCCTTGCTTACAGATGACTTTACTTTGCTATTGGTTGATCGTGATTTTTCTTCGTCTTTAGTAACCTTTTTCGTTCTTGCTCTTGCGACCCTAAAAAGATTATCCATTTTTTGTGAGAAACTCTTACGAAAGTTACCATCTTCCGAACCTTTCACACTTTTTGAAGATCGTGCTGCTTCGACTTCACCCTTTGCTTTCTTTTTTACTTGTACAATGTCAACTACAACTTCTTTTCGTTCTCCATTTTCACATAGTACCAGTATCCTGGTTCTACCCATCAAAGGTTTATTATTATTATTGTCGATGACTTCCGATCCTTTAAGGATTCCCATTAGTCTTCTTGAATCCTTGGTCTCATCGCGTCGTGAACCTGCAGAAAAGTGCTTATTCATAACTGAAATTTTAACGACGGTTACACCTTGAGCTTTAACAACACCATATGCTGGGCTGACGTCAAATCGGAACGCAGGCCAGAGTATTTCATATCGAAGAGGTTCATTTGTATTGTTAGAAATTGTAAATGTGGTCTCGAACAATGGTTTAGCATTATGTTTTGCTAATGAAGAACTACTTGGGTTACTTCGAAGTGGGAGCGAAGCAGATGATGCGTTAGGACTGACTGCATTTACCGATGGACCTCCAACTACCGTTAAATATTCTGGTGACACTCTCATTCCGTGTAATTCTTCAACAACCTCTTCAATGATCTGTCGATTCGGTACATTCACGGATGTGGGTGACAAAATTTTCTTCTCATCCGTACATGGTTCTGTAAGATCCACTTCTTCGCTCGACCAGATGCCAATTTCCTCATCTTCATCCTCTTCATTAATTGTTTCTAGTGGCTCCTCCAATACTTGCACTGCTGTCGATTTTTTAGAGTCTGATATGTCGCTCACGGGTGATTGTAATGTACTCTGTGATTCTTTTACAGGGCTCGCTAGTCCAAACTTTCTACCTAATATACTTGGACTACGACGTTGATGATATTTTCTTAATTGTCCTAACGTCTTTTTTGCCCATAGATTCCCTACCTTCCCTATATGATCTGCTGGATTATCCTCAGATTGAGGACTTTGTGGCTCTTTATGTTTTTCTTGAGCAGGACTAAAAGGTCTTTTTGGCCATCGCCACGACGTCATTGATTTAACAGATGAAGGAGTGGTTGATGCCACTGATATAGATGGTGTTACCGGTGCGAATGGTGATATGTCCGATTGATCAGGTGACTTTATTAATCCTTGTTTGGCGTTTGTATTGGATGATTCTGCTTCTTCTTCCTCATCTTCAGTCTCTGACAGCATTGGTAATGGGGTATTAACTGTCAACATAGGAGTTGTGGTTCGTCTAGCTTGTATTGAAGGAATTGAGGTGAATAGACGACGTGTTATCTTTGCACCAGTTGATTTTTTTATAGGTTCTGACTTGGGTTCTTCTATATGCGTTTCCTTTGAAAATATTGTCCGTATTTTGCGAGTACTAGTACTTTTTATTAATTCTGGCTGTTTTTGCTCTAGCTGTTGTTCTGGTTCTTCCGACTCTTCTTCTATCCCCCCCAATTTTAATGTAAAAGACCCAGATAGCCGTTTTTCATTGCTTCCCTTTGAATTTTCTTTCTGATTATCAAGTATTAAGGATTCATTTTTATCATCCTGTATCCATTCAGATACAGAATGCGTATCTTTTTGTATGATACTTGATCCCATGCTCTCGTGGACAAACGGCTTACTTGCATCGCCAAAATTGTTTTTACTAGATGATAGCATCGGTTGAGTCGTTTCTGATGGTTGAGCACTTGCAAGTAAAGGTGATGATGGTATTTCATTGTCACTCTGCTGCAATTCTCCAAGGCGTGTACTTTTTGTCGAGAATTTTCTTGAAGGTGAAATATCATGTATGTTATTTTGAGATTCTTCTTGTTCATTTGTCTTTTTTTTAGGCTCTTTTGAATCCTCCGGTTCGGTTGCTTCCTTTTCTTCATCTTTCATTTCATCCTCCACGCCCTCACTTATTACGTTTAAATGTATAGGTGGTGAGGTATGACCATCAGCGTTATTAGAACCTACTGCAGACGATGTATGTTGAGATGATATAGGATTCGCTTGCAATGATGATGATGACTCTTGCTATAACAATAATATATGGGCATATGTAAGCACAAATAATAGCACTTACTATGCGTTTTATTTCAAAAATTCATTCATATGATTCCGATAGACAAAATACCTGTTGTTCCGATCCTTCCGGTCCCTCCTCTAAATCAGTTAGCGAGTTGAAGCGCGGACTTGCCAATTGCATACGACGTGGTGAGGTAGGCCAGCCTTCCATAGCCATACGTCCTGACATGTTGCGTTCTGGTCGCGAAGTGTCTATTGAAGGTACTGGCAATCGATCGATTCGATTTGGAGGTGTGATAAACCTTGACTGACAAAAATATAGGCAAATAAATTTTCAATTATTTCTTTGAAATAAAAATTTCTATGATAAATGTTCTTAATCATAGTCTACATTTGAAGTTTTTATAAGAAAAGGAATATCATCTAAAGTTTACCCTTTTGTGAGGAGACAGGCCGCCACTTAGATCAGTCATTGGTCCAGTTCTATGAGTAATATAAGTTTTAGGATATCTTTCTTCTCTTATACTAATTCTTCCATCTTTGAAATTTCTTAATTGTGTGACATTAGAAATAGGCACTGGAGATGGATATAAAGATACCGATACGTCTGAATGGTCATCTTTGAAAGTACTATATGTATTACTTAATATTGATTTATCTGAATGAACTAAATCTAAGTCTGATATGGATGGAAGCAAAATTGATGAAATATCGGTTGAAGAATGTTCTGAAGAAGTAAAAATGGTGGGTATGGATAGGTTGATATTAGTTCTGCATGTAGAATTATTTGAAATATCTTTGTTTTCACTGTTCCCATCACCTTCCCCAGTCTTTTCTGTGGCTAATACATTGATATCTCGTTCTTCAAGAATTCTAGAATATGCGTCTATACTATGATTATATACACGATGATTTTGTTTTGTCACAAAACTGTCCTCCTGGTCAATCTTTTCCTCTTCCGAAGCCGCCAATTCTTTAATGTCCAATTCTTTTGACCCATCAGACGATGAGCTTTTGCTCAAAGTCGACGTGGGACGCAATAGTCGACTTGCCAATTTTGATTCTTTGATTGTAGTTACTAGCTCTGTTTTTTCCTCAATCGTGGATATTTTGCGGCTTGCGGGAGGCTGTGGAAAGAGTGACGAAGGTTGGTTGGGTGGACGATTGCTGTGACGAATAATCTAATTGGAGTTCTGCAGGTGAAAACTCATCTATAAGGCAATCAGTGTTACTATTGTCCTTTTGTTTGAGCTTTCTTTGTGTTACTATTGTCCTTGTTTCTTTTTATGGGTGTGAAAACTTTTGTTGTAAACCAGTGTTGTTGACTGTAAGCTGGAACTCCACTGGATGTCCAGATTTTTCCAGTGTTCTAGTGGTTACAGTGAAAAATTCTCTTTTCACTGTGTGTTAGCCAATAAAAATGCAGATTTGAAATTTGAATATACTATAATGGCGCAACCAAACTTCAGCATACATCCAATAAAATTTCAAGATCAGGTGTGTAACGTAAAGATTAACATTAATGGGATAATATTCTTTTTGCGTAAAATAACGTCCTGGGACGTTATTTTAAGACATGCAATTTTATTAGTGCTTAATTTGATCGGGCGCGAACCATTTCTGTTAAATGAAATGCATATGGCCGTCATTTCGCGCAAATATAATAAAGCATTTGATTTTAAATTACGGTACAGACTAGTGTTACACCTCTTATAAGTTCGGTATAACGGTTTTTCTTTAGAGATGGATATGTTATACGATCGATAACAACGTGTGTTTATGCTTAAGTAAAATATAAGGTTATTCAGCTACGCGTTAACAGTCAGGGAATATGTCACACCTGTTGATATATGGGTATTATTTTATATTAAAATCTATAATGAAAAATATATAAATTTACTATAAACTTTAAGCCCCACATTATTTTCAACTTACATACTAATTTTATATTTTAGGGTTAAGCATATCGAAAATAGTAGATTAAAGTTATTTAGAACACTTTTTTAAAATCCTAACAAAATGTAAATTTTCTTAATAAAAAGAAAAAATAGGTTCTAATTTTAAAAATGGAATTATATGTAAAATTTATGTTGAATATTTTTATTTAGAAGGCAAAAGTAGATTATATTAGTAAAAAAAATAAGCTAGCTATATATTAATGTCAGAATTTTCAATTTATATATAACTATATAGTTAATTTTTTACTAATATAATCTACCTTTGACTTTTAAATAACATTTTTAAAATTAATAAATAGATTAGATGTTAAGAAAAAGACCCAAATTAACAAAACAAAAGATCTTCAAAAAATTAATTTTGGTATTGTAAACCTTATAATAAATTATAAAAACTGTAAAAAAATTTTTTTTATAATGCCAAATTATAACTTATACTTTATTTAGTTTTTGCATTACTATTACATATAGTTACATTACATTTGTGCTACTAGATACTTTTAACTTTTGACATCTAATATGACATTATACTTATATTTTCTTATATATTCTTTTTTATAGTCTTTAGTATATATTTCAATTATTATTACTAAACTACTAAAAAGGTTGTAGATTATTTTATTATAACTTGAATTTTTTTTTATCTTTAGTTTAATAGCAATCTGTCTACTATCTGCAATAATTTTTCTTTCTTTCAAATTAGTTAATTCAGATAGTTTTTTACTCTTTGTGCTATCAATTTAGTATATACAGTTTTATATGTTTTTTAATATCTAATTGGTTATAATTGAACTTATTAAAATCTAGATTATTAATCTGTAGTTTATTATATACTTTTTTGATTGTACTTTTATAGTTAGTTTGGTTTACAATTTAATTGCATATATTTTTTACAGTCTTTCTTTTTTTTTTTTATTATTAAGATGACCTCTTTGGTTTTTTAACTTTTATTAATTACTTGTTAATATTGTAGTTCAATGAACTACTACAGAAGAGCATACAATTGGTTACATATGTAATTTTTCTATATTACCTATTTAAGAAGTCTACCCAAAGGTTCCTCACCAATTGCCATATCTAACATCTCTGCTTGGGTGTTTCACTTTAAACTCTCTGAATCTGTAACCTGTGTTAATATCACTGGGTCATACTCAGATGCCCAGATTATCATCTCAACTTTAGGACTAATTTATCTTCAAGATAAACTCTCTAGAGCCTTCTGTATCTATTTTTACAACTGATCTAGGTATTACTATGGCAGAATCAACACTTGTGATTAGGACTGACCATTAAATTGTTATGCTCTTATAGAGTTCATATAGATCTTAGCATCTACTTTACAGCATATCTGAAATATTTTAATATACCTCTGCTGGTTCACCAAACTTCCAATTCAGATAGCCTGATAGAACTTATAACCAGTCTATTGGTATATCAGGTCAGCCTGATATTCTTTTCCTTCAGCTCAATCTGGTGGCCTGGTTGGTGGTATTCTCCATTTAGAGGTTTTTGCCTATTCGGCTACTTCGACCTTGATATCTGTTTCATAAAGCTAGCCTTTACAGTAGGGTCATCGAAAATCTGGCTACTTCTCTACTTGGGTCTTCCCAAATGGACTTCTTGTTACCCAATTTCAATGAATTTATATGGCCACAAAAACTTATCTAGTATTTGCACTATCTAATTGCTGATTTGCATTCCTTTATGTAACTACAGACCTTGTCTCAAAGGACAATGTCATATGACCTGTTATATGAATGCTCCATGACCTATCAGTCATGCTAGTGTGATCACCATTACAGGTATCCTAATCTAATCATTGGTAATAGTTGCCATAATACAAATATTATATAGATGATTATTCAAATTTTTACTATCAATAGGATTTAAACACCCAACCTACCACTTGGAGGGTTGACAATCTGACCACTTTACTAGATCATTATACTCTTCTTACAGTCTTTCTTATAAGTATACTGTCAATTATATACTAATATATTATTAGTTTAATATTACAAGAAGATCTAAAACCTTGATTTATTATATATAAATATAATATTTATTATCTAAGTTGTAATATATAACTGTTATGAAAAATATTTAACATATATTTTAGAAGTATCTGTTTAAAATATTTCAATTCTAATTAGATCAATCTTTTGTCATAAATTTTCTTTATATATAGTTATTACTTACCACTTTAGTTATAATTATTCAGTATTATTCTTCTAATTAAGTATTTTATAAGTTATATATAGTGATGTTGATGCTGTTCTATTTTTTGAAAAACTAATTACATAATTACTGTTAAGTAGTCAAATTTATTGTAATACTACTGTCATATATAATATCTTTATTTTGCAAAGTTTATTAGCAAAATAAATATATGAAATATTACAAAAAATTTTGTATACTAAAAATTTTTTGAAATAACTATGATAGATATTAAATTATTTTAAAATAAAATAATTTTAAAATAATACAAAATAAATAAAATAATTTCAAAAGGGTGTGGTGACTTAGTAAAGTGGATAGGTTGTCAACCTCTAAGTAGCAAATCTAAAGTTCAAATCCTAGTAATAGCAAAAATTTGCAATTCTTTCTGTGTTATGATTAACTGTCTTCCATGATTGGTTAAAATAAGATACCTATAACCTATATTATACTAGCATAACTAGAAAGTCTAGGCACTTATATAACATTATATAAAGAAACACAAACTGGTACTAGGCAGTATGAACCCAAAATAAGACCTTAGGTTATGTAAATCACAAGAATCAAGAAAGATGAAAGCCTACTTGGAAGACCCAAGTAGAGAAATAACCTGAACCTTTAATAATGCTACTATAAAGACTAGACTTATAAAACAAAACTAGAAATTGTAAAACTAAGCAAATGTGTTAGTCTTTGAGAAAGAACTGGATGAACTAACCAGGCTGTTAGAATTTCTGGGTTTTAGAAAAAAAGATACATATTGGCAAACATGTAAACCAAAGGTATATAGTTTTGACTTACCTTTTTAGACTATCTGAAATGATAGCTTGGTGGAACTTGAATTAAATACCAAAGTAGTAAGAATATATTGTGAAATTAGTATTAGAATTGGAGTAAACTCTATAAGAATATAGTGGTTTAATGATATATTCTAACTACTAATGTTGGTCTCAGTCATAGCAATACTGAGTCAGCTATAAAAATAGAATACAGAAGATTCTGAAAGGTTTAGTACAAGGTTAAAGATTTCAAAGAACTGCTTTAAAGACTTGATGGCTATAGTATATTTTTACTGACATCAATCAGGATTATTGGTAAGCAGAGGTAGGTAGGTAAATACAGAAACTAAAGTAGTTAAATAGAGAACCTTAAACAGGTTTCAGATATAATAGCTAGTATAAAACCTTCAGGCAGACTATTTAAATTAGACAATAACTAAAGTTATACAAGTGACTAGTTGTATACTCTTTTTATGATTACCCCATGTAATTGTAATACAATCATTAACCAAATATACTATTAATAAAATCCTGTATTGCAAGTACTTACTTAATATTTAAAAAAAAAAAATTGGAATAATTTCAAAAAAATTTCAATTATTTTAAAATAATTTAAAAATTAATAAATCTAAAAAATTAAAAATATATTTTAAAAATATCTTGTAATATTTAGAAATAATTGAAATATTTTAAAAATAAAGAAATAAATTTAATATATTTTGAAATAATCGAAAGAATTTAGAAATAATTAAAAAATTTTAAAATAATTTTAAAATATAAATATTTTTTTTTATAGTTAAAGTTTTTATCTTGGAGATGCAACATTTTTATTCAAGTATATTAGGACATAGCATGCTACCAGAAGCTTACCTTATAATAGAGGTTACAACTAGCTATATGTGCACTTTTAGTATCTAATTTAAGTAGTCTGCTTACATATTGCTATATAAGTTTTACACTAGTTGCTATACCTGCAAGCCAACTAGATGTTTTGCTTATTTAAACTCTCTGTATATGCAATAATTCTTGTATCACAAGAACATCTTAAGGCTGTGCCTATCCAAGTTCTTGATACTGATCATTACCCTTAGAACTACTTTATCTTTGACAGAAAACTTACTAGAGCCTTTATGTCCTATATATATAGACCTAGTTTTATGCAACATGCTATAGTTATCTAACACTTGCAGGCACAAGAATTATCTGTTTAACTACTATATTACACTATTTCTATTCTTGTAAAGTTTACTAGAATCCCAGTACCTATCTTCTTAGCTTTTTCTTCATCATCTCTTATTAGTTACAACTTAAAACTAGCAGTCTCATTCTAGACTGCCAATCCAAATAACCTGATATGATATACTTCTGTATCTTTTTTATCTGACAAATTTGGCTGCCTGGTTGGTTATATGCTTCTCTACACATATTTGACATTTAGTTTTAATCTTTGGTTTTTATAAAGGTGTTTTATATGCTTTAATTATAGGTCAAAATAATATTATTATTTTTTTTTTTTTTTTTTTTTTTT